CCCTTTACTTTTATCTGTATGCTGAGGACTTTAAACATGTGTCAATAAAAATATTTAATGATCAATCAGTGCCATGTCGTTATTTCAGATGAAAAAGTGTACTGCCATGTTCCTCATCTTGATAATCTGTTTGGTGTTATCAGATATTGCGTATGCTCGTAAGTGCCATTTACATGTATGAATACAAGTCAAAATTTTATCTATTTATTTATTTGCAAACACTTTTTCACATGAGTATTCTTTGTTCAAATACAGGATAAAAACTGGTGAACCCTAACTGAAAGACCAGGGATTACGTAAAAAATATACAATACACGTTGAACCACGGAAAGTTGGAATTGATTTTCTTGAATGTTTATACGTGTACTGCTGTAGGAAATGGCACTAGAATTATATTTCTATTTTGTACACATAAAATTTCATATTTCATTTGGTGACTTATGAAGACTCCTTACTATAATTACAGCTAAAAAACGTGGAAAGCACAAGTACCGATACCATGTACATCGCAGTCATCATTCCAAGGCCTGTGTACCATTAAGTGGTATGTATATAAAACTCTTTTAATGAATTGTGTATTTCATATTCAAGCCTTCTTAAAATATGTTTAAAAACTTTATTAAAAATCATCCTTTATTCCATTTGCATTCTCACCATTATTTGAATAGTAAAGTTAACCAAAAGCATGTAGAATCAATGTCCCCATGCAGAAAATATTGCCTATTTATCTATGTCAATAAAATTTAAGACAAACATAACTTAGACATAACCTCACACGTGGCTAAACTTGAGCCAAGTGAACTTGACGTGGCATTTTACATGGTATCTCTGGTTTAAGAATTTGAACATATTCAGAGCTGTGTAAAATGGAATAAGTATGTCACCAGGGGGAAATGCACACCAAAACCCCACAAAATAATGCACTCTTAAACTTTTTTTGCTAAAGAAAAATTATCATATTGAAATTATTTTCGGCTTTATTTTTAACACCTTTTGCATGAAAGTTTACAGGCATGTACATCTCAGTATTTTGATGCATACACATTAAATTAAAAATTGTAAAATTTTCTGTTAAAGATCTGCTAGGTAACATGAATGGTTTTCTTTGCTGTTTTATCTCAATTTTACAGCTTTATCAACATGTTACTGTAATAAAAACCCCTGTGCAACAAATAATGGAGGATGTGAGGACTTGTGTGTAAATACGTACGCGGGCCATTACTGTGCATGTAGCCCAGGCTTTCAACTGGTGGCTGGAGAGAACGATACAACATCGTGCGGTAGTTAGCCTCAGAATAACAATGGTTTTGTATAATATAGAAACTAATTCCAAATCACATTTAATTGAGAGATTGGGTTTTTATTTCCTTTACTAGTTCTTGTGGTTGTTGTTTTTGTATGGATACTATTTGTCTTGATGCCTTTCATCTAACAATATGACATTTTAAATAAAATCATAAAACTAAAAATAGTTTGGCAAAATTTACAGGTGAAGACAATCTGGTATGCATTATTTTAATTCTTAAATAGTTTTTTAAGTGTGATAAAGGATCTACAGAATAAATGGTAAATATCATTATTGAAAATTCTTTCAGATTATGATGTTAGTTGTGTGGCATTGGATGCCTTGAATGGACAACTTGTATGCATCTGTGAGGACCCCACTGGAAGATACCCAGTCAATGGAACAAGGTGTCAGGGTAAGTTCTTAATACCAGTGAAAAAAATTATCCTGATAAATGCGCAAAATGATTGCATCGAAGGGGTGTGATTTTTATGCAAGCATATACATACATTTAGTCTACATGTGATTTTCAACTGTTGAGCTTTATCCACGTGAGACATGTTAGCCAATGGCATTTTGTTCCAGAATTTTGCACTAAATTGAAAACAAGCTACAAAACTTTCAGAAACAACTTAACGTAAAGGGTTATCCTCTTTAAATTTGGAGAACCCAATCTGTTCTTAGACTGGTCTGTAGATTTTGGCTACTACACACTTTTGCTTTGCACCACACACCCATTTTCCCCCTATCACCAGCATAAATTTTGGTATTTATCTTGCACCACTTCTTATGGTAAAAATGATTTGTCCAGGCTACCACTAAGAATATAAGCCCAAGGTTCAAAGGCAGTCCATTCACTCTCACTTTGTTTGTGTTTATTTCTACAGACAGGGATGAGTGCCAGGAAGACTCCCCCTGCCAGTCAGAGTGCACCAATACCATAGGCAGTTTTGAGTGTGGCTGTGCGGTTGGGTTTGAACTCTCAAACGATTCTAGAACATGTGTTGGTAAGCCTGTAAAGTGATTTTAGACGAATAATAACTTTGACAAGTACTTTATCTCTCTGTGTCATTGTACCTTTCTTGTTTTCTTTTTTTTCTGTATTCTCACATTCTTGCTCTCTGTGTTGTTTTACAGGGCTTAAGTTATTTTCTTTTATAGTACTGAAATTTATTCAAACCCTTTAGATTTGTATGTCATGGGCTTTCAAATTTGCATTTTATAGACATTGAATATGTATTGAAATATGTTCATATCGAGAAGGTTTCTTTGAGATTGTATAGCGACAGAGTGGTTATTGGTAACTGTTTGACTCTATCAAATTTATTTTAGTAAAAATTTTATGTGTTAAAATACATTTATTTATTTGCTTTAATTCTTTATATTGCATCTTAAAATGTAATCTAAAAGTGTTTGACCAACAGAATGTTATAGCATGTTTAATCTGTTCACCATAGATTACACAACGATGAACAGTAATTTTATGAATAAATGCCTCCACAAATGGCTGAAAATCATTTAAAAGTATGCTACGACTAATTAGCAGGATGGGACAGTGTAATTGTTACTTGTGGCATTTACTGTAGTCTGTAGAAAATATCACTTAGTTAGATCATGTTCAGCCTTAAATTTGAACTGACTCTGTTTCAAACACTCATCTGATTGTTTCTTTATTTTTGCAGATATTGATGAATGTGTGAACAATAATACATGCACAGATGGCCTGTGTATTAATACCCCTGGATCTGTCACTTGCTTCCGTATTGCATCATTGATATCGGGACGCAAAAAACGAGAGACAACTAACACTGGCCCTGGTGAAGACATACTAGATTACGACTCGAATTTTGATGTCGATGTGGACAACAGAGGTGGATTCACTGAAGCTCAACTACCAGCAAGAGATAAAATTCAGCAAAGCTGGAGTCGAGTACAAGAAAAAATGGACTCTCTGCCAATCTCTCAGATTGAAACTCAAGGATGTTGGCTATCTGTTATCTATCTTTGTATTTCTGTAATTTCAATGTTTATGTCATTAGTATTGTTGAAAAGAGTTGAGAGAGCAGAGAGAGCAATTCAAAAATTGACTTCTTGAAGTGAAGCTTAAATATCTGAAAAAGAGGATAAAGGAAGAGGAAGGGTGCCCTTCTTACCTGTTGCACAATGAGATGATGGTTGTTATCTCTAACAACATTCAAAATAGCCACCAAACACCAACTTTTGTTGTTGTTAAATTGCATTTCAAATAAAAAAGCATGGGATTTTCATTGATTGTCATGTATTTTCACTTCACTTTGGATATAGCTCATATTATAACAGGCATATTATCTTAATAATGAAAATAGTACAGGTACCACTTGCATAAAAACTATTTTGACTTGAAAAAAAAAAATGCATGGTAAATGGCAACCAAACAGAAGAAAAATGTGAAAACAATTAATAATATGGCATTTCTATGTTTGAAAATAAATTAATATTTTGATAGTTGGTACACTTTCTGTGCTACAACAAATGGATGCTCTTTAATGTACTTTATGTTGCTGACAAAATACATAATGATACTTACATAATAAAATTGACACAAGATTGTTGGATTTTTTTCATAGTATACATGAAAAAGAATGATTTTGGCACATCCAGATGCCAATAATCTAACTGACCTGTCCTTGGCAGAAGATGGTTAACCCCCACAATTCATCGACCACCTATGCCAAAAAGCATGGCAAATAGGAACTCTGGAACTGAATATATGACATGTAATGGTCAATGTAGGCAAATCCCTAAAGACTTTACACTCACTATTGACTGGCGGCAATAATCAGTGCATCAGTAATCTCTTACCAGAATATGTGAGACTATTATGTAATGCAAGTTTATGTTAGAATTTATGGAGAATGAAGAAAGAAAAAAATTATAAATTAATGAAAAATAAACAAAATAAATAAATAATTTGAGAAATGGGCAAGGAGTTGTTTTTTCTTTAAACTTGCAATTCAGATTTGCTAAATTTGATTTCTTACTGGTAGATGATCTTTAGTGTAACTGAATGAATAGTAGTTGTTAAATGAGAAGAACGAAGGGGTGTTAATAAATTTGACACAATTTTTTTGACTTTTATTAAAAACATACATAAATAAAAGAATAATTTAGACACACTAAATTTGTATGTTTAAGTCTGGTGTATAAAAAGGTCATCATGTGCTTTACCATTTTAAGGCAGTTTACCTATGGCAGTTAACAACAGAAATGTTACTCTACTACACAGTCAGCCTTGTACTTTGCTGTCTGGTTATGTTTGCAACTCTTGCTGCCTAATTCACAAGTTAGCACTATTTATTCATTATTACAAATTCACTGCACAGATTTTATGTACTGCTCCATTTTTCCATTGACAGTAATAATCAGTGAAATAGCACTTGTTTTTTCCATGAATTGCACCATAATTTTTGGAGCTGAACTACACCTGTGTGCATTTATAAATATCAACCATGAACTTCCTTTCAAGTCAAACTGTGGCAAAAAATAACAATAGTCAGTATTTTCTTGTCAATGATTATGACATAACTAGAAAGAATTGTCCCAGCATGCCAAATGGCAGCTGATGTCAATTAAGTCACTTTACCAGGCAAAAAATTGCAACTTGCCCAGAGTGTACAGTCCCAGGATGCCAAAGGGCAGTTTGTTTGCGTTAAACAAAGTCACTTGACTAGGCAGAATGGCCCAAGCACATCAAAGGACAATTCTTTCATGTCGAAAGGCAAATGTGCTACATCCGGTGATAGGAGAGCAGCCAGGGCTGAATTCTTCTCCTTGTTCATTTGTGCAATCTTTGTCAGCTCTGCTGCTCTATTCTGGAATATAATATAACACAGCTTGGATTATAATGCCCAGGATGATAAAACGTGTAAAAAAAATATCTGTTGGACTATATGACTGACAGGAAAAGCTATGCATTTTCTTTTAAGGATGTCTAACTGATATAAAACAAAAGCTAAGATACTGATATTTCTAAATTAAAATTAGAAATCTTGATCCAGCAGGGCCGTAGCCTGAGCAAAATGCCAGGGGGGGCAGTAAGCAGGGGGATGGGGGGGGGCTCCCACGGTGAGGAAAATTTTTTTAAACTCTACATATAAAACTGCATTCTGGTGCATTTTAACTGTTATTTATTGCTCAATCAGAAGTCAGAAATTGTGGGTTCATTTTGCCTTAAGTACAGTCATTTTTTAACAAAACATGCGAATTGGCCTGGGGGATAGCTGCCTAAGGGAGGATGAGCTTTTTGGCATGAACTGAGTTGGCTAAAACAGTACACCTTTGTAAACAGATTGTTGAATGATTGTCTAGTGGCCATGAGTGCATTTTTTCACAAAATTGATACCAACTTTACAATTATTTTTTTTTTTACCTTTGCGATTATTATTATTTTTTTGCACCT